GGTAATGAAACTGGTTTTATCATATAAGCAACAAATTATGACTACACAATTTCCTGTAAGTTACTACACAATATTTTGCACTACTATAACGTAGTCAAAAACATATCTTCATTATCATTTGTGGTATTAAACAAGGTTTGTAGTATGTATTTTCAAAAACCGCGTGAATAACAACAACCTGAAATGAAAACAGCTGTCAAGACCACTAGCTATTTTTTAATGGTCCATACTATTATTAGATAACAAGTTATTTATTCAAAGATTTTAATTTAAATAACTTTATTTTAAATTAGCATACAAAAACTATTATTTTTCATCTTGGCCTAATCAAATTTAGTTATGACAAACAATCTGAAATTTTATTTTCTACTAAAAATAAATTAAACCAGTAGATTTATCAAAACCTAATTAACTACAAAATCGGGTCGAATCAAGGATATCACAAAATTAGGAAAAGCATTGTTCAGATTAATTAATTTTTTTCCTAGGTGGCACACGGCATGATGAATTTCTCTTTTAGATTGTTCGTCACTATGTAAAAACATGGCACAATCTCAAAAATACATCGTTTAACTACTCCCGTGTTGTTATAATTTTTTATCGACTAATGTATGAATACAGGACACGATTTCAACCTTGTTTTTTTCATATAATCTCTTGAGACAAGTTCCAGCATGTCTAGTATACCATATCATCTCCGACTTGAATTGAACCTAACTGAGCCACCGCGGACAGTAAGACAAATTGTGTCAGATTTTGATATTTTGGCGCCAAAAACAAAAAATTTAAAAAAACATATTAGACTTTGACTCCATTGTTTATAAAACCACTCGCGATAGACTAAACCTTTAAAAAACTGACTTTCTTAGAGGGAGTTTATCATCCATAATATCACGCAAACAAGTAGAAGTGGTTTCACAATATTCATTATTTTTATGGTTCATTAAAAGTAATTGTGATTAACAATTGATGTATAGTAAAAGTTTGCCAGTATAGATAAGAGAAAAATTCCCATTCCTGCGATACAATTAAATTTAATAATTATCACAACAAGGTTATCTACCTGCAATAGTTGAGTAATCTATTAATTGTACTATTATGGAATCTTTCCAGCTCAAATGTTCTTATGTTAATCAATCAATGTATCACCATATTAAAATTATTGCTTGTTTGCCGGTTACAGTTAAATAGTGGAAAGTCTCCATTTTGAGTTTCAGGAGGTTCAGGCGCTTTGACGGTTATCATATCTTCCAAACGAATTTTTAGACGAGGGGCATAGGTCAGGTGTCAAAGTTCAAGGTAACGCTTAAAATGTGTCTTATTTCTTTCCATGCAGTCCAATGTTATAAAGCTACCGCTCAAGTAATTAGACATAGAAAAATGTATGACCATAGAACAACAAGAAACAAGGATCTCAAACCTTTGGTGTGTATTTCAATACCCATGCAAATAATATCCGGGTGCGGGCATGGATATTTGTAAATGTACAGTGGGTTGGGTTGGTAGAGCAGTCTTGGCTGATACTCCGCCCACTCAAAAATAAACCGGCTTTATGGCTCAGTGGTAAGAGCGTTGGGTTATAAATCCGGAGGTTGGGTGTTCGAACCTGGGTTGAGGTGAATTTTTCATCTGTGGCGGAGATGTAAATTACCTTAGACCAGTTCCGAGCGTTCTACCGGCTACTCCGAATTAGGTTTTTCCTGCAGTTTTCCTAATTCGTAAGGTAAATACCGGAGTAGTATAGACCAACTTAAGACCTTCTGCAGAGGCACCTCTAAATAGCATTATGCGGGTCACTCTGTAATTGGGCGCATGCCTGTTGAGGGCCCAAAACTAAGAGAGGGATAATAAATAAATAAATAATAAATAAATAAAAGCCAAAGTAAATTTTTAAAAAATTCCGCAGGTAACTAGAACTTGCTGAGTCAACATGGACATGATGGCGATGCATTGAAATGAATTTCTTTTTTTATCTCAGTCTCATTCCGTAAAAATCCAATAGATATGCATAAGAAAAAGGAAGTCTGTCCTGTTTTGGGAATTCTGATAACCAGATTCAGATTATCCAAAAAAAGAAGTGCCCATTCCTCTTAAGGCGCAAAATTTTATTCCTTTTGCAACAGAGATTAGGTTAAATGAGTAAAATATTACAGTTTTAGATATTGTAGATTAAATTTTTTCCCCCATTTTACAGGGGTACATTCGCTTTTGTAGCTTAGGGATACGCAAAGTCCGTCTTTGTAGAAGTGTTTCTCGTTTCAGTCTGTTTGCATAAACATTGTGTTTCCCCTGTTTTGCAGGAGTAGATTCGTTTACCCAGCCTGAAGCATATCCCTCTTTGTAGAATCGTTAGGAAAATTTTTCGAAAGAAAAAAAATTCCCTTTTTGTGATGGTTTTATTCGTCTATAAGTCTGTTCCTCATCTAACTGGAGAACGAAAAGAGGTAACGACATCAAACCTTCGCAAATCGATTTCTACGAGTTCAAGGATCAGTGGTTCTGTGTGTGCAGCGGTTTCGCTTGTGCATACGTTTACTCTTACATGTTACTAGTCTCATTAGATTGTGTTTAGTATCATTGAAAGCGCGCTAATTAATCACGAATTTTAAGAAGGCTCCCAGATTTTATAACAGGGAACCAGGTAAATAGTTAGTGTTAATTTTTGAACGTTCGAGTACGCCAACCAGCTGGAAAATGTGGCGTTCCCTTTCCGCATTTTGGGAATAGTAAGTATGATTTAGAGGTACCCTTTTGCATATTTTGGCATCAGTATGGACGTTAAACTTGTTTGGCATTTTACCGTACCGTTTAATTTCAAGGTGAGCGCTTGATAAGTTTTTTTCCATTAATTATATTATAACCGTTAGTTAAGTTGTGCGTCCGTTCCCGCTTTGGGAAGTCGCTACCCTTTCCGTGTGCCATAAGTCTGTTTTCGATTATTCTTCTCTGGAATTTTCCGTTGTCACTGTGGCTTCCGAAACCGACCGTCCTTGACCAGGAGCAAGGATCGACAAACTCCTGGTGGCGTTCGAGATTCTGTACCGTTCCGTCGACTACTACAGCTAATTTGTGAAGTAAAATAAAACCTACTATATATACAGTGTGTAAAGCGATGGAGTATACAAGAGGGAATTTTTTTTTAAATATTGCTTTATGAAAAAAATATATTCTTCATGATATTTTTTGCTTGCTTTGAAAGTACCAATAACGTTTCGATTGTTTGTGGTTTGATAGCAATACGCTATCTTGATTATAATGTAGAATGATAACTTTCAAAAAAAAAAAATTAATTTTATTGTTTTTCCAGATTTCTATAAATAAATTTTAGATTATCGAAACGTTATTAGTACTTTCAAAGCAAGCGAAAAATATCATGAAGAATAAATTTTTTTCATAAATCAATATTTTAAAAAAAATCCCTTTTTGAACAATTTGTCAGTTTTCTGCTGATTAAAATTCAATTATTTTTTTTCAATTAATTGCACCATTCACGTTTGTCGAAATGAGTGGACCAGAAATGTTCTTCATTGACGCTACATTATTACAAAAATCAATGTTACCTAATTTGTCCAATAACAAAGATTTTAAACAATTTTGAAATTGCTTCAAGTCAATTTTTCCAAATAGTGTTTTTTGGAAGCTTTAGTTATAAGTTTTTAGGAAAGTGAAATAGGTAGGTTTTTGAAAATGTGAGTTACTCTGAAGGCCGAATTGATATAAAAAATGTATTTTCAAAATGGGCATTGTGCGCGGGTGCACCATCTTGTTGAAACCAACAGTTTCCAACTTTTGTTCTTGTTTGTGTCTCATGCACTGTTGTATTCCTAATAAAAAATGATCCTCAATACCGTATGTACTTTTTTTTGAGGCTCATACTTATTGAAACTTACCTAATTCGGTCTAACTGAGCAAATTCAAAAATTAAGTTCAAACAAATCTCAGAGCAAATACTAAAGTAATATTTATTGTTTGGTGCAAGATCAGACGTAAAAAAATGGTATTTACTGGAATAAGAGACGATTTTTCACGTGTTGGTTAAATTTATCTGATGAGACAAGCTCCTATGTGAATGCATTTGTTTCCATGAAACTGTCAGTTAGATTTAACGTTAACATGAAAAATTGTCCCCAGTAAACTTTTCGAAAATCGGCAGTCCAGTTTAAAACTGCTTTTTCCATTTTATTAGTTGAGATTCCTATGCTTCAAGTCCCTCTGGAGACAGTACGCACAAAACAAAATTCATTACGTCAGAGAAACAACCCTCACACAGTTGCATAATGATGGGTTTACGTTAAATTACGATACCTTACTTAAGAATTACGTATCTAATCTAATCTGAAACCTTTTTCCACAAGTATTACTTAGAAATGAACTTAATTTACGATTAATACATAAAATTGCAAAAAAATAAATAACACAGTTCACCGTATCTAGATCAGTCATTTTGAATAAATAAGAATAAAAAAAATTCCAAATGATAACCATGGCAACACTGCAACATGCGAACAATATAACCTAAAAAAATTGCAACGATTTTTATTCAAAATACGTACATTCCATTTAGCTTGGCAATTTGGAGGGGATTTCTCACATTAAGTATTCATTTCATAATTCATACCAATTACGTAGCATACAATGGAAGATAATTTAATTTTATTACGGAACAAATTTTAAACTTCTCCTTTTTGAGCACTGTCGAACATTGTACAATTTCTCTATATCCTTCAGCGATAAATAAGATAGAGTAGATTAAATGGTCTCGGCTGTACTAACCAAAATAACACACTTATGAGATAACTTGGCATGGAATGTCGGCATTCAAAACTAAAAATATATCCTTAAACCTACAGAATTAGATTGTGTCATTAGAGTGCTTCCTAAAATCGGGTAAATGGTGAAAAATTGAATTAATTGCCAGTTATTAATTTTCAAGGTCGCATTTAAAGAGCGATTCGATTGTAAACAAAAGTCCTGTCGCACTTACCGTAAATTGCAGTGTGATATCTAGTTGTACTTGTATGTCGAGTCATCGTCTCCTTCAGGTATTCGTAACTGCTAAAGTAGAAAGCGTGTGCTGGTCCGGCACCGACTACAACCGCGGGCATACCCCGAACCGGCCGAAATATGCCCTCCTGCTGCACCATCTTAAACAACGTCCTACTGACCCCATCCCTGGTCGTTGAGGGCAGCAGCGATTGCATCCTCGTCTGTAAAATTGAGAAGAATTGAAATCCTAACCTACCATACTGTACTTAACCTTAATGTCAGTCCTGACAGATGTTGAATCTCGAATCTTATGTAATATAAAAGCGTGAATAAGGGAGAAAGGTTACCTTTACTGAATCGAGGGGGTACATAAGGCAGTGCTCCATTACCCCGGCGAAAGCACCCGCAGTCATATGCGTAAATACATTACTTGTTGGTAGGGTTTCATAGTCCTCAAAATTCATAATATAGCAATTTGTTTAGTTACCCCAACACTTAAATTAACTGCCGCGGTTATTATTTTTTAATGTCAAGGTGTTTTTCTACTTTTTTTTTACTTTTTTAGACTCGCCACTGAAATTTAGGACATACAGTTAGCATGCTCAAGCTGTATAAATGAAAATGGGAGTGGGGAAGGTACGATTACCCCCACCGCGCTTACAGTCACTATCAAACACGCGGGAAAATCCCGGTACTCTTCCGTTTACGGGGGATTATTTATTGAGGGGACGAGATAACATGAAAACATTTTTGAAAAGTTGCGCTTTTATTCCTGTGCAATTATTGAAGTTCGTCACAATTCATACCTTGCGCTCATAACGAGTTTGCATTTTGCAATGTAATTCCACTTAAACGTCCTCACAAATCGCATAATTTATTCAACCGGGGCTTGATTTGGGGTTTCTCTAAACGCAACAAGTACCTACTTAGCGCTAATTTGTTATTAAAAAAAAGGGATTTACATCCAAAATGATAAAAGATATACGTGAAGAAATAAACGTGCGGATTGATGTCAATTCAAAGAATGAAGCATTTTGTATTCCTAGCAAGTTTATAGTAATACACACATTAATAATTTATACATTCCTTTTTTGTATTACCTTATTTACTAGAGTTTAAATATAGCACAACGCATTCTATATAAAAATTAGACCTAATTTAATTAGAAGCTGTAGGTATATACAGGTAGATCCTTTTTACCTGTGTGACATTTTCTAATGAATCAGTAGGTATATGTTTATCTTACTTGCCAACAACTAAAGGAGACTTGCACCTAGTCACTCAATATATTCTACAGGGAGTAACCTTATGTACCTACCTATATTACTTCCCACAGTGACACATGTTTTGGAAAGTCCTGTATAACAATTACTAATGCTAATTATATTCCTCTATTATACTGATCGTATTTATATTATTTTGTGAATGTATAATAAATAAAAACATTCTTCTGAAGGCAATTAGCGAAAATCACCAGAAACAAAATGAACTCAATTTTAACATTGGTGGCGCTACCTCTTAAAAAAATAAGAGGTCCGTGGGTTAATGGTCATTTCTTGCAAAAATTCTTCGAGAATCATCATCATCATTAGTTTTCTGCTAATGCAGACCCCTGATGTTAATCTTGGCAGGATGCCTCCATTGGGGCTGTAGGACAGGTATACACATAGTTCCTGTAATGCCGAAACAGACTATCCGCTGATGTTTGTCAGCTGTGCTGTATTGCTTCAGTTAGCATCCTTCATCTGGCCCCACCACTCTCTTTGATGGCTTTTTGCTCAGATCATGGTCTATCAGGTTCATTATCCCGAGCGCCATATTTGTATTCTTTCTGACACTATCCTCTTTACTTACGATATCTAGGTCGTCAGCATCACCCTGTATATTGAATCCTTGGTTGCCACCACCGTCCACCACTAGCAAACTGAAAAGTGATAATAGCATTTCTCAAAGTACTCTCTTTCAGCGACCACTCCTTCAGATCTTGCTGTAATTTTCCTGCTCTTCAACAGACTTAATCCAGCCTTTTGTTGCAGAGTCAAAGTCCTTTATTTCCTGCGGTCTCATCTATGGCTTCGTCATTGATGTTACAGTGCAGTGAATGTATATTAGAATCCCTATTGTTTATCCTCCAAAAACAAAACTTGATGGTGGGAAATCAAAACAAATATTCTGCAAAATAATATCAAGTGTTGCAATTGAAAGTTAAATTTCAATAATGTCCGTTTGACCTCAGCAACTACTACAGAACTGGATTGTATCTTTTGTTACTTTTAATTATCAGCTGCAATTTAAAAAAAAACTGTATTGTAGGTAATTAATTTCCGAAAAAGGAGTACTTTAAAATGAAGCAAAAAATGTTTTTGTGGTGCACCGCAGAGCTCAAAAAAAGGCAGTGTATAACCTTCCTTTTTTACCAAAAATTGACTGCACCAAAATTTCTCGGGAAAACACTTTTTCGTATTAATTTTGGTGCGTAGAATCCAAAACAATTCGTACTTTTTCGATTAGACTTCTCAATCAAAAGTGATAGACTAGAAACCAATTTCGAAAAAAAATTCAAAGGGCTGTAACTTTTGAACTAGTAGCCCAATCTTGGAACTGTTTGAAATTATGGATTCTACAGGCCACATTCTATTAGAAAATTTTTTTTCCGGATCGATCTGAGACAATTTTTTTTTCGGGGCTCAAAAAAAGGCAGTGTATTACCTTCCTTTTTTACCAAAAATCGACCACCAAAATTTCTCGGGAAAACACTTTTTCTTATTAATTTTGGTGCGTAGAATCCAAAACAATTCGTACTTTTTCGATCAGACTTCTCAATCAAAGTTATGGGCTAGAAACCAATTTCGAAAGAAAACTTAAAAGGGCTGTAACTTTTGAACTAGTAGCCCAATCTTGGAACTGTTTGAAATTATGGATTCTACAGGCCACATTCTATAAGAAAATTTTTTTTCCGGGTTGATCTGAGACAATTTTTTTTTCGGGGCTCAAAAAAAGGCAGTGTATAACCTTCCTTTTTTACCAAAAATTGACTGCACCAAAATTTCTCAGGAAAACACTTTTTCGTATTAATTTTGATGCGTAGAATCCAAAACAATTCGTACTTTTTCGATCGGACGTCTCAATCAAAAGTTATGGACTAGACCGAATGCCCACAATATAGATTTTACCACCCTGTGTATTACGCCTTTTTGCCCTGTAAATGGAGCATACATGTTGAGCAATAAAAAAATTGTTACTATTATTAAAGAATTTATATACTCTTATTCATTTTAAGAAGGTACGGGTAGAAAGCTTTGACCTTCACTATGATTGGATAAAACAAGAGTATTGGGCTGAAAAATAAAGCGAGTGATTGACGTTTCTGGGGTCAACTAAACTGTCATTAGCTGTTAATGTTAAAGACCCAAGCATGAAATCGTTTGATTTATTTCTGTTCATAGTGCTGGATATTTCTACTTTACAATATTTTAGTGCCGTTTTACATTTCTCTTGTGTACTTATCATCAAGCACAGCACTATCTACAACCTTCTTATAATCATAGACCAAATATTTGTATTTGGTCTATGTTATAATGAATGCAGTATAGACTACTTATAGCAACTATTAACCAATGGCATTCAAAATTTTGTGCAGTGTAACATTTCTAACATAAAAGTGCTAAAATATGTACTTACAGAATTTACAGAACCAAACCAATTGTAACTAAACCTTTGCTCTAGCACTTGCACTAAATACTTCGCACTGTAGAATGATCACCACCAGACTCCAAAACCCCTAACTAATTCAGCTTCCTGCATTGCAGCAGTTTTTTGGTGCCTAAACTACACATTGAGGGCACGCCACAACATTTTTAATACAGCACTATCAGCTGAATGAGGTTTTGTTTACAACAAAAGTTCATTATTTGCAAAGAGTGGAATTAAAATTGAGCGAGTGGAAGAAATATAGCAGTAGTTTTTATTCAGCTGTGCTCGTTTCACAAAGTTTTATAGCTACACAATTTGCTTTCAACTTAAACATTAAAATAAATAAATATTCTTCTTTAAACGAATGTACAATAGTATTTTGATTTGGTATTATTATGCCTATAGACCTACTCTTTTATATATTCATGGTAGCTTGAAGTTTTCTTCGGCAGAACTAAGACATTATAAATTTAATATACTTTTATAGAAACTAATAACATGAAATCTTTTACTTCTAATAATAAAATATAAACCACATAATTAAAAAATATTGAAATACATTAACAGTTGTAGGTACGAAAACTACTTCGACTAGCTTAAGCAAAAATACAAACAAAGCAAATCTACACCACAAAAAAAGTTTTGTTTTTATAAAAAGCTAATCCCAATTTAGATTTTAGCAATAAATAGGTGCAAAGTTTTGTAATTTATATAGCTTTTCTATTATTGTTAAACTTTTGATTAGAACTTGCAACTATTACGCTACAGTATAGAGAAAAGTCGCCTTCCTTTGTATTCCTGCACAACTTAAGACAACGTTATCAGTACAACACAAATAGTGATTGGTCATTTCATTTAATAAAAAATTTCTGTCACTGAGAAATCTGCAAAAGAAGGCAAATCCTCTCATTTTAAATGTAACAATATCACTTTACCACAGAAGCACCCCCTCGAGATGTGCCTCTACATTAAAATTCACATGGTGCTTATAAGCTAAATTACATATTCTATGTAATGCATTAGTTAAGAAATGCAAAATTATACTGTAAGTCTTTAGGTCACACATAGAAATAAACAGTTATGGCAAAAAATCTATCCTATAGTAGAAACAACAATGAAAGTAAATGGTTACAAAATTTAATTAAAATCATTATTTACAACAGGAACTATTAACGAACTCACAGTAAAATTTCGAATCTTTTGAAAATGTGTAAGCATTTTCTATTAAAATAGCTGTCTTATTATCAAAATAAAACTAAAGCGTATCTAATATTTGCAATAATAGGCATATTTAAAATAGGCGAGCTCTGCGCTTTATTTCATTCCTACGCCACTGCGGTATCCTATAGAAATCGTTTCTTGTGCATTGGAATATGTCTTCAAATTCTTTGTCGGATAGATGCCTCTGTAACAGAACGTGTTAAATAATATTCCCATTTAAGTTCTTGTTTTATATGGAACACTGTTTTAGTTTTTCTGAAAATTACTTCCGACTAAAACTAAGGGGGCCGATTATGTAATATGTTTTATGTTCAATTTTAAGGGGGAAATGTTGTGTAAACTACAGGTGGTTGCCGCAGGTTGATCGAAAAAGTTAATTGGTTCTGGGATAACAACGCCATGTGCGAGATAAGCAGGGCATGTGTTTATCAATAGGCATTGTTAGCCCTTAAATTTTTTTCTCATAGTTTTTCTTTTTGTATTTGGTTTTTGTTCCCATAATGTGTGCTAGAACCAATTTGAAATTTAAAAATAGAAGGAAACTAATTTGAGCTGGCTCGGCAGGTGTTTGTTTAGGTGGTATTTTTGAGGGACCATTACACACAAGCAATATTTTTATATTTACTTACAATCACATCTGAAACTATGAAAATGTCATTTGAGCTGGATAATTTTTACTAAAATATATATTAAAACGCAACCTTATTTCCAAAATAATTACAAAATTAAGAATGTTGTGTCTTGTTCAAGTATTTTCAGTATAAATACTAAAACAGCATTTGATAGTTTTACCTCTAAATTGCATCTATCAACATCGGCTGGCAAGCGATAGTTAGTTATCATGAGTAGATGATAGGGATAAATTTTGGCCGGCTCGTTGATCAACATGGTATGGGCCATGTTTGGTAGAGATCGTCGCACTTGTGATGCGTACCCTCCCCGGAACGCTCCTAGTCCCCCTGTGTACGTCGATGACACTGGCATTTCGGTGTTCTATTGGAAAATTATGTTAAATCTGTTCTTAAACTGTACTGTACCAATTATTTTAAAAGCGCTGTTAATGCTAAGCTAAACATTTACGAATACATGTTAAAAGAGTCTGATTTACATACCAATGCACGCCTTTCGACATCCGTGATCGATCCGGTGGAAACTGTAGAAAGAATTATTTTACATAAAAAATGTTTAGAATTTGTTTTAAATCTATTCAGTTTTAAGAGTGACGTATAGGATGCCATATTAGTGATTACGTGCAAAGCTGGCAAAGATAAACGAAAATCGCTATAGAAAAAGCTGCAAGGACAAAGATTTTTTCGGGGGATATACAAAAATAACAGTTACTAAGAATTAACAAATATTACTTACTGTCAGATTTTCCACTGCTAAAATCTGTACTGTGAGTTTTAATTCCAATTCCGCTAAACGAGTAATCACCCTGTGGATTTAAACTCTATTAAAATAAAAAAAAATTGAACAAAAATGTGATGAATATGAAAAGTGGCATTACATTCTAAGATGTGCTTTTTTCAAAAAGAATAACCATGCAAGATGAGCCAAACGTAAAATTTATAAAGTGGTAGTACAGTTGCGCAATTACATGGTAAAGCAAAATTGGCTGACAGATGACGGGGAGGGGGGCGCATTGACAATATCTGGTATAAATAAAATGTGTAAGAATTTAGAAGTACATTTCTTAATCTATGCTAATGGCCCATCTCGTGGATCAAAATTAAGTTAGAAAAGGTGCACAATCTTAATCTTTTATTGGTGAAATGACGAAAAAAAAAATAGAAGCATGCATCGATTAACTAAACATGAAAGTTGAAATGCATTACACTCGTAAAAACTTACAGGAATTTGAGGATAGCTACCGGCGGAAGAACTGAAGGTATGAGATCGAGGGGCCAAACCATAGCCCGGTTTAGGAACGTGACGTAGCGCACTTACAACTGCATAACAAATGCATTGTGAATGAAGTTATAAAAGGCAATAAAAAAAGCCCTAACTTACAGCCCTACTCAGTGTGATGTATGTGTGTAAAATAAAGACATTTGAATGTACGGGTACATTCAAATAGTTTTTCTTATTGACAAGTACTTACATAACCATTTCCAGCAGGTAATGTGGCCGACTTTAATCCATATCCTGGTCTTGGCACGTGCCGTAAAGATGATACTACTACACCACACAAAATTAAAAAAAAAAAAGTAATAGAAGAAAGCTGCACATAGAAATAAACAAAATACACTTAAAGGTACAATTCAGTAAAATAAGGAAGCCAGCCACATTGACATTAACAACAACCTATCAATACACCTAAAAATGTGAGAATCAAAATGCAACTTGAACCACATAATTTTATTGGTTCTATTATGTTCATAATTTGAAGGAGGTGCCAATAATTCTACAAGTAAGGAAAACAAACAGTTCATATAACATGGCGATTTTGCTACCAGTGGTTTTGCGCAACAGAACCAGTAAACCTGAAATTGTCTAAACCTTTAACCTTGAAACTGGACTATGGTGCTATCCCTGGTTCGGGTTTCGGCATGGATATTTGTAAATTTATAGTGGGTTGGGTTGGTTGAGCAGCGTCGGCTGACACCCCGCCCACTCAAAGATAAAGGCAAAATAAATAAAAATAAATTTGTAGCTTACACTCATGTCACCTGCCTATTATTACTGTTGAGTGACACCATTGTGTTGTAGGATTGGGTAGGGGAGGGCCAATAGGGGATTTTGGAATCAAGCGCCGCAGATTAACATAAAGAGGGATACCTTACACCCTGCTGAGCATCTCCACCTAAGGATAGTGAATCTGCCCATCAAAATAGTAAAAAAAATCTATAGTTTGAAATACTGAAGCGTGTCAGATTAAAGTAAGGTGGGCTGACTACATGTTGAAAAGTGTACATTTCAGTAATCTGGCGATTTTGGGATGACGTATAAAGGGGGGGGGAGGGGTATTAACCTTGACATTCTTGAGCTCGTTGGAATTTTTTTACCCAACCACAGTATCACAAATACGTGGGGTATATACACTAACAATATCTGACGCGCTCAAGTGTTTTCACGTTGACACGGCCCCCTTGTCATTTAACTTTGTTCCTTTCTAGCATCTAATCTACAAAGTTCAATCACCAAGAAATAAGTGGTAGTTGTCGCGCCATGATAGTCCAGTTTTTGGTACCTAAATTGCAAGATATGGGCGTGGTTTCAACAGGACTTGTCATACAGCCGCGGCATAATTCAATTACTGCATGAGTCATTTCCTGGTCGTGTAATTTTCCATTTTGGGGATCAGAATTGACCACCACCATCTTGTGATTTAGCACATTTCACATTTCATTTGGAGCGTTCCGTTGTGCTTGGCAATTTATTTGAAAATTTGTAAAGAAGGAGTCTAATGGCGGAAGTGGTGGTCAGCCCTATTTATTTTGTAGAAGCAGTTCGTTATTTTTTGTAACAAATCTGTGCAGAAGCAAGTTAACCAAAGCTGTGTGAAAAGCCTAACGCGTTTTGTCGGTTAACGGAAAAAGTAGTTACAAGATTGGTCATTTATTAAAAGTGTTCTACCGCGCAGAAACTCACTCAAATTTTTCTTCAAATTCATTAAGCCCGTTTTGATATCTAATTCTGTATTATCAAGAACAAGTGAAGTTTCCTGAAGCTGTCAACGAGTGTTTCAAGTCAGTTTTAGTTCGCTTGAATATCGCAATTAATAAAAAAAAAAGATTTCTTATTTTTTGACCACCTGAGTGCGGGGTAATATGTCTAAACCAACTTTGTAAGCTGTTCATTCTTTGAAGGATTTTGTTTCATAATGTTTTGGAATTAATTTTTGTAATTAATTGTGTTTATTCGAACCCATTGTGAGACCCAGATATTTTTCATGTCAGATTTTTTTTTCCTATTTGTGTCATGATTTATTTCAGGTGTTGATCAAAATTTGTGTAATAAATTCCTTGAAATTAAATTTGTGTTGTGAATTTTCAGTTGTTTTCAATAAATTAACATCATTGGCGGTCATTTTCTGATATTTTAATCAGCAGAATTTCTACTTCAACTCAGTTATTTTTTCATCGACAGAAATAAATGTAAACCTGATATTAAATATAAATCTATATTACCCCACTGGTAGCAAAAAGACATGAAGAGGCCACAAATTTTTTGTAAGTACCACTTTCAGCAATTCAACAAAATGGCTACTTTATGCACTGCAATTAAAAAAAGGGATGGCCTCTCTATGTCTTTGTAGAAAAAGGTGCTTCAAAAGCAATGGTGCAATAGAAGTTATTGACGTAGAATACCACAAACTAAATCTATACCTATTTGTTAGAAAATTCAACTAGTGAAGAATTTCTTTAAATAATTTCATGCGCAAGAGATGTGGTACATTGTAAACTGATGCCCATAGGGGTTTTAAACTTACCCAACAAAAAATGTTCGTAAACAATGAATTAATTTAGATCTCTAATTAGTTAATTACAACACACACTTACAAACATGCTGTATTAGTAAGCGAATACAAATTTTGACATTTTAAATTTCGCATGCTTTCTCACCTTAACCAATTAAACTGCCAATTGTTGCTAAAATTTTGTCACAGAATAAGTGTATGATGTTTATAACGTTAGTTTTAAAATTATGTGATCGCTCGTTTACACTACGTCTACATTTTCGACAAAACCAAGACAAGTATTAGTTTTGTCACGAAATCAAAATCTACCCCAAACAATTATCATACGTACCGTTATAATTCGGAATTTGTCCTACAGAGCGGCCGACCGATGATCTACAACTTAGTGACCTATCGAAGTCTTCTTCGTCAAACGGTTTCGGATGATCTGTGTTTCGTGACGGGCTAGCACCGACGGGCGAATCATATCTCAGCTTGTATTGCGGTTCCTTACTAGCCGATGGAGTTCTAGAAATAGTGTGAGAGTCCGACCTTCCATTCCTTTGAACTTACCTGGACGCATTTCTAGGATCTAAATGTGCAGCCTTCCACTGCTTAAGCTTCTCTCTTTCGTGCACATTTTTCAGAAACACTTTACCAATACCCGTAGCTATCTTACTCAACTCGTGCTCTTCTTTTTTAAGCTGCTCGTCTTTTAATTGAACATGATTGGAATGGTCAACTTCGTCTTCTTCATCTGAATCCGGAACACCCTTGTAGCTGTCAGACCATCGTTTTCTCCGTTCTAACAATATCAATTATAGTTTGACACTCTGAGCAATTTCTATACAGGGTGTTTTTTTGGGAGCAATAAGTTAAACGTTTCTGGGAAAGTAAAATAGCTAGGTTTTTGAAATTTTGTACTTCGGAGTTACTCTGAAAGCCGAATCTGTGTAAAATATTTTCAAAATGGCCGCACTTCCGGAAACACCGGAAGTAGATAGTAACTTCGTTATTTTAAATGGCAACCCCTATTTTTTATTGCATTTTTGGATTCTACGTGAAATTTCAATCCTTGTGATACCCATATGTCGATATCTGCCATTTATGGTTTTTAAGTTATTTTGACTTTAAGAAAAAAATGGCGGATGCAGACGGTACCTTGATAATTGATTACTTGAAAACGGTTGTAGTCATGGCAACCCATTTTTATCAGTGCATAGAGAATGAATAGGGCTTTCTTTTAGTGTACTTAAAAAAAAGTTAAGTTGCGTACAACCGCACCTATGGAGATCCAAATTTAAGAAACTTTAAAGTCTATAAACTCAGTTTTTTTAAATGGAATGACCCTGTTCTTACTATTGCATGAGATAAAGAATCGAAATTGGCATATTTTGATAATACATGTTCCTATAGCTATCTTTAACAGTTTCTGATTTATTCCCATTTTATTGAATTGATCTAGGAATTGATGCGATTTTTTTCGCATTTTCTTTTTAGTAGTTGGCCATGATTTTATAACAATCAAATTTTAAACAAATCAAGGAATGGATTCGTTAATATCATTGATTCTAGTCTAAATATTTCATTAATAAATAAGTTTTTTGTTAAGGATATAGGACGGAAATTTTTGAAAAATCTAGACAGAGTCGTTCAACTGAACTTAAACAACGTATAAGTCTGGAAATTAAGAGAGGTAATGCGATATCTGTTCTAGCAACAATTCCATACCAAAAATGTTTCAATGAAGTTTTTTATATTTTGTATTGAATTTATTTTGTTAATCTTGCATTTGCAATTCAATTCATTTTCTTAAATATTCTCTTGTAGAGCTTTGTATCACTTGTGCTTCAACGGTTTGTAGTGCATTTGGGGATACAACATTTCCAAAATTCATACAATTTCGTTCCAGTGTTCGAATGAATGTACGGCAAGCATGTGCCGCGATTCTGTCCATTTCACCATAAATAACAATTAAATTCCAAAATAGGTGAAATCACTGCGAGTCATTTTTCGATTTTTGAAAAACTTATGTTAACCTATAACAGTGGGTGATGGATTAGTGTCACTAGATTTGTTTAAAATTCAATTGTTATAGAATCATGGCCGACTACTAAAAAGAAAATCCGAAAAAAAATAGTGTCAATTCAATAAAATGGGAATAAGTCAGAAACTGTTAAAGATAGCTATAGGAACATGTATAGTCAAAATATGCCCATTTCGATTCTCTATCTCATGGAATAGTAAGAACATGGTCATTCCATTTAAAAAAACTGAGTTTTTAGTCTTTGAAGTTTCATAAATTTGGATATCCATAGGGGCGGTCGTACGCAACTTAACTTTTTTTTAAGTGCACTAAAAGAAATCCCTATTCATTCTCTATGCACTGATAAAAATAGGTTGCCATGACTACAACCGTTTTCAAGTAATCAATTATCAAGGTACCATCTGCATCCGCCATTTTTTTTCTTAAAGTCAAAATAACTTAAAAACCATAAATGGTAGATATCGACATATGGGTATCAAAAGAAGTGAAATTTCACGTGGAATCCAAAAATGCAATAAAAATAGGGGTTGCCATTTTAAAATAGATTTCAAGATTTATTATTCCTGCTGGATTATAAATAATTTACAGGAGTCATACATGTAATATTTATAAGTATAAAATTGCAAACATACACACCGACATACACACCGACATACACACCTACACACGCACTCTCACATTACATTACGGTAATACAGTAACAGTATATATAAATAGTAAATCGAAAATACAAAATACATTTTAAAAAAATCACGTTGTAAATAATAATAATAATAAAATTTATGTTCCGCTCTACATTACCACTTTGTTCACCAAATACTCTTCTGTGCTATAGAAACTATGTTTCAAGAGAAACTGTTTAATTTTTTGCTTACATGATTTATCATTTTTTTCCTTAACATAATTTGGTAGGTGATTGTACAATTTGAGGTCCAAAGAATTTTTTTTCGAAGTGGTTTTTTTGAAGCGCTTTATTGTTAAATCATTTAAGCTTCGTGTATAATGCTTATGCAATTCCGAGACTCTGGTGAACGTCATCCTCTTCTTATGTATCTCCAACAAAGATGCATATATGTACAGTGTAGGTACCGGCATAATTTTTAGGTTAATAAATAATGGTTTGCAATGTGCTCTGTACTCTGCATTTGATATAATGCGAATAACCTTTTTTTGAATTTTAAATATTTTTAATGCATCGCTCGAGTTTCCCCAGTACAGTAAGCAGGAATGGAATAGCGAGTGGTACACATTTAACAAATACGTTAACGGCAATAATTTCTTAAGTTGGTAAAACAAATAAATTAAGGAACTCAACTTCCCGCTGAGATATTGGACATGTTTCTGCCAATTTAGTCTATCATCTATATAAAGGCCCAGCAATTTAACACAATCTCCTGTAGAAAAACTTCTATTTAACGAAAACGTTATACTTTTTGATTTTTGTTTATTTAGAGTTAATTTATTTGCTGAAAACCAATCACCTAGTTTACCAACAATACTGTCTCGTATACAATCAAGGTTTGTTATCTGGAAATCCGAAAAAACTAAAGAGGTATCATCCGCGAATTGTAAACAAGTTGCGGGGTTCGTATACTTTTGCAAATCGTTTACGTAAATAATAAATAGTATAGGCCCGAGAATTGAACCTTGTGGTATTCCATATTTGATATAACCTGGACTAGAAGTTTCAGTGCCTAGATCTACATATTGTTGCCTATCTCGCAAATAGCTTTGGAAGAGCCTTAATACCATTCCTCTAATGCCATAAAATTCTAGTTTGGTACTTAAGATGTCGTGGTCTACGCAGTCGAATGCTTTAGATAAGTCGCAGCATAGCATCATGGAGTACTTATTGTTTTCAAAACCATCGACCAAGTCACTTACTAATTTACTTAAAAGATCAATTGTGCAATACTTGCTCCGAAAGCCATATTGTGCAGGTCCAATGATATTATATTTATTCACAAATTTAATTAATTTACATTTAATAATTGACTCAAAAACTTTTCCTAATATTGGCAGTATGGAGATAGGCCTGTAATTGTTTGGTAGTTCGGCGTCTCCACCCTTATGTATTGGCAAGATTTTTGCACATTTGAACACCGTTGGGAATTCACCTTTTTCAATGCATGTGTTGTACAGTATTTGCAAGTATGGTGATATTATATCGAATATATTTTTTATTATTCTACTATTGAGCGAATAAGCGTCAACCGAGGAAGAATCTTTTAAGCGTGATACTGCAATTTGTAGCTCCTCTGAAGTAACAGTTTCTAAGAACATTGACGTATTTAATGAAGTTTGTGAGTTATTTAAAAGAGTTTGAGGGTGTACACGTGAATTTGGCAGACCACGTATAAGTTCTTCTGCAATGTCCAAAAAGTATTTGTTTAAATGTTCAGGCGATAAAATGCCCTAGGTTAAGACACAAAGAATCAACTGACTCGGATAAAGCATGCAGCCAGTGCTAAAATAAAGGTTTTACACGCGGACAAGGAAAATATAAAGAAAGTAACAAGGGCACGGAAACGTAGGGGATGAGCACGCAAAATTTGCAAAGGCTGTTTCGTCTAATTCTCCAATTCCCATAACACTGACCTAATAAACAAATTTCTCCTTTCTAAAAGCCCAGGGAACATTCGTCACTAAATTTCTCCCTTATTTCACAATGCGAGCAAAGAGATCGCATTTCCTTATCATTTAAATTACAAAGTTAAGAAATAGTAATTTGTATTTGTTAGTTCGGAATCCGGATTTATTTTACGGTAGCGCGTCGTCCCTATCTTCAAAAATAAATTTGTTTGAATAAATCAGTGGCGAGAACCGAAAACCGGAAACAAACAACACACGCCGGAACCGAAAGTGAACTCATCGGCAGTCCGTCTAAACGGAGCAATATGAAGTTATTAAAGTTCACGTCACCGATAAAATTAAATTTGGAATGGCGCTTTATTACAATTTTGGAAGAGTCGCAATTAAAACCCTTTCCGGCGCGAAAAACCGTTCCTAATTTAAATATTAAACTGCTCTTACTCCAAATTAATTCATCCGTGGCCCGCCTCTCCGAAAAAAAGGGCGATTCTGATATCGATCGGCAATTAGATCGCAATTAGTTTTTAGTTTTATTCGTGAATAATTCGGGGAACGGCGCCATTTGCGTTTGAAATCGATCGCGAAATCGGCGTAGCTAACCGAAAAATGTCGTAATCGGTTTCATTTTCAATTAAGGGACAATTACGTTTAATTGAAGCTGAACCAAGCAAAAATATTTAACGCGAATCGCTTGTGATTTGATTGAATTTACTGTTACAGTAGTAAATACGACGTAAGCTGGTCGTAAAGTGGGTGACAAACGTCGTGATGCATTAACAAGCATACGGCGATGGCGTAATAAATTTGATAGTAAATCTGATTCTCGAATCAATGCGAAATTCAGTCGGCCACGTGCATATAAATCAATTGCGAGTCAATGCGGAAGAACCGACAATCAATTACCAGACCCGTTTGCTCCTAAAACAATCCACAAACACGCTGATCCTTTATAAACAAGAGTAGTATACTGGCGACAATGGACTCAGCGGGGGCAAAATGGCGGTGAGGTTATAAATGTAGTTCTCCATTATAATTGAAGCGTCAGTCCGTTTCGAAATCACCGGGGCGCCGTTAAACTTTGGGGTTGTACATTATGTTGGAATATTTAATTCATTCAACTAACAACACTTCTTTTCCTTTTTAAATTTTTCCTCCGCCGCCGTTTACGAT